CCGCGGACGTCGAGCCCGAGCCGGAGGGCGGCGCCTCTCTGGGTGTTTTCTTTAAATTGCCTTACTCCTTGCGGTGGAGGTCGCGGGTGGAGAGAGCGAGTACCCATTTTGTTCAACTACAAGGCGGTTGTTTAGGCGGTGGGTGTGAGAAAAGCTTATGTTTTTAATTATTTCCTGTCGTCAGCGTGAAAAAAAAAAATCTTTGTTTTGCATTTACTGTTTCTCGAGCGTTCCTTTCCTCCCCACCTCCATTATGCTGACCCTCCCGAAACAGGATTGCTCGGCTTGTATCTCCAAGTGGCCCGCGAACGCCTCTGTTCCGCAGATGCTTTCTGTTCCTCAGCAGTAGTTACCTCGAGGCATTTTTAAATGCACAAATGCATATCGATTTTAGGTGTTCTCGAGGGATGCGAATGCCCTAAGCAAGTGTCCTTAGGGTCTTGAGTTCAGCAGCAACCTTAAGGGGAATCGTTTCAGTGAAAACAATTTATTTGTAATACTTTAAAGAGCCTACTTTTTTTAAAATATAGAGAACAGCCGGTGATGTGATTCAACTTGGGGTTCATTTGAATAGGCGGGTCGCAAAGCTTGTTTGGGGATTTTTCTGTTTAAGGTTGGCTGTAAACCGTATGTTTTATTCAGTGTTAACATGCACGAATAAGGTTTTAGTTACTTTTTTCCCCTACTGTACAGTCGGATTCTCTTACTATTCCAGTCAGGAAAATTGCAAAGATAAAGTATTTTTGTTTTAGAATGGCAGGACAGTAGTGAACCTGGAGGACTGAACATGAATTCTAACTTAAACAGTGAATGGTATTTTAGGCCACACCTAGTTTCTATTTCTGTTGCTTTGCACACCTAATAAGAATTTTGTAAACTTTGTATGTATTTGGTGCAACCTTAAAGGAGCACAGTTTTGCACAGCAGTGTCCTATCAAGTAAACAGATCAGCATGTGCTTTTATTGTAACTTTAAATTTCATATAAATAAAAATAAACTTTATATTAAATTATTATTAATTACAAAATGTTTCTTGCTCTTCCTAGGACCAAAGAAGTAAACACTGTGTGAAGGGGGAACACATGTTCGGAGGGGAAATGGGAACATAAACCATAATAAAAGAGTAAGATTGTACTTACAAGTAAGTATCTTATCTCCAAGTAACCTACTTTAATTTATCTGTTAGGGAATAAAATTAGTTAAATGAATCAGCATTGGTTAAACATTAAATGGTAGGACACAATGAATTTGATGACAAAGCTTGAGGAGAAATAGTATGGTTGACAAAGCGTAGAGAATTCAGTTGTTAATCTTAGAAAGATAAGGGAGAGTAGATTATGGTGAGGTGACTGGTTCAAGTTACTCAGGCAGAGGTCTACTTAAGATTGCTCTGTTTCTTGATTTTTTTAATTTGTTTTTATTATTTCTGGCTAGGGGTTGAGGTAAGGCAGCGCAGAGCACAACCCTAGAACCATTCTGTGAGATACCAACCTGGAAAGCCAAAGTGATCTTTCATTCTGTAAACACCAAGTTGTGTCAGGAAATACTCTGTAGTGATTAAGACCATGGCCTTGCAGTCGATTGCTGAGCTTCAAATCTTGGCTCTACCATTTATTAACTATACAGCCTTGGGAAAATTATTTAACCTTTTGCCTCAGTTTTCTCATCTGTAAAATGGGGATGACAGAGCACCTACCTCATAGCATTGTTGGGATAAATTACATGATTTTTATTCATATAACACACTTGGAACAGCTGTCAGCTATAAGTGGTAAGTAGTCAATAAATTTTAGCTGTTGTCCTGTTAGAGGAAAGGTATTTTATGGCCTAAGACAACATTATGTCTAATAGGAAATTCAGTTTGCTCATTTAAGCTCTAAGCTTATCAACTCCAAGTCAGTTTACCAGCTTTGTGTTGATTAAACCCTTCACTGTAGACCATTTTGTAGGTTCAGTTTTTGTAGGGAAATACCAGACACAGCTCTAGTTTTTACCTGCAGACTTAATTTGAAATCAGGAATGCCTCTGTTAAATTCTTTATCTAGGGCAGATTTGCCCCAAAGCCTTGTTTTTCCATATTATTGTGTGATGTACAGGAATCTCTTCCTGTTTAGATTATCGATGTCTTGCACAAATAGGAGTGCAAATGTTAAGGGAATTGATCTTGCTTTTAAAAAGGTATTTATAGGAGCGCCTGGGTGGCTCAGTCAGTTAAGCATCTGACTTCTGCTAGGGTCAAGGTCTCAGGGCCCTGGGATTGAGCCCCATGTCCATCTCTGCATCTAGGGCTCTGCATCCATCTCTGCTCTGTCCAGCTCTGCCCCATGCCTTCCTCTGCCCTCCCCCGTCTGATGCACGCACCCCTGCTCACTCTCTCAAATAAATAATAAATCTTAAAAAAAAAATAAAAAGGTATTTATAAAGGTGAATTTCCAGATTTTGTGTGTGTGTAACGAGGCCTTCTCCACCCTTCTGCTCCATCCCCCCTATGTAAGGCATACTCTGAAACAGATGTGGAAAACATTCAGTTTGAGATAAAGAGACAACAGTTTACCAACTCTGTCTCCAGAAATGCAAGTTAAAATTTACTTTGTAATAAGCCTTGTAAAGAAAGAAGTAATCTTGTGGACTTTGAGGAATTCTAAATGCTTTGTTGGGAGGCAGCGTTGTAGTGTGTATATTCTTGAGATCTTAAGTGTGCTTGTAAATTGAAGGGCAATGTTGGAGGCTGGCCTGTTGAGGTAAATGTCTCAAGTGAGACATTTGCTCATAGTTGTAATGACTGCAAAGATTTAATGACAATCACTAAGATTCTCTTGAGATGTATTAAATTTCAAGACTTCATTTGTAAGTAAAATCTTTATGGTTAAGGTTGCAAAGTGTTACAGGAAATATTGTCCACCTTAGGTTTAAAGAAACAAATCATAAGCAAATTATTTTTTTAAGCCCCAAAAGGTAATTTATCGGATCACATCATTTAGAAGTTCGAGTAGCTCCATCTTCGGCTGGATCTAAAATCTGAATCTAAGGAAAGAAGATTTTAAAGACTTTTGAGACACTCCATTTTGAGCTCTGCTGTTTTCAGCATTGACTTCATTCTCAGACACACCTCCCTTCATTGAGTGGCTGCAGCATCTCCAGGTATATATCCAAACAGCTTCAACTTGGACATGCCTTGTGTATGATTGCTTTACCAAAAGTCTGTAATTAATTTCATTGGCTTTCATTGGGTCATGTGCCCGTCTGTGCGAATAACAGAGAAATGCTGCGTTTGGTTTTTTAAACTACAGTTCAGAGATATAATTCATATACCATATTCATTAATTCAGTTTGTCCATTTACAGAGTACAGTGATTTTCAGTATATTCACATGGTTTGCAACCATCACTGCAATCAATTTTAGAACAGTTTCTTGACCCCCCCCCCCCAAAACAATCTCCATGCTCATTAATGGTGTTGACTCAGATGATGATGAGGCTGTAAAGCAACCAAAAGGGTTTCTTTGGCGTCTTCGGGACTGCAATCTGGGACACAGAGTTGACTGAAATCCAAAGTGTGCTCCAACGAATGGGGAGTGCAGGCTTATATAGGCAGAAACCACAAGGTTACATAACTTGTTTTGGAAGAATAATGATTGATACTAGCAGAGTTTAAACTAAACTGTAATACACGATTAACTGTCTGGCTAATAGGCATTAACATTCTCTCTATTCCAGTCCAAAGTAGAAGTATGTGTTCCAGGAGGTGGTCTAGTTGCAATTGACAAAAGTCAAAAGTTCATCGTGTTCCAAAAATTGAAACAAGACAAGCGCAGGCCCTATTTCCTCAATATCCTTCTGACTGTGTTTAGAGTGACTCCCTTAGTAATGCTTACCCTATTTTGGAATCTTGTTTCACAAATCACTCCCCACTCACCCCCAATCCAAGCATTCCCAGGCAACTATTAATCTTGTTTCTATCTCTAGGTTTGTGTGTTCTGCACATTTCTTACAGATGAATTAATAATACGTGATCTTTTGTGACTTTTCTCTCGCCTCACGTGTTTTCTTCAAGGTTTATCCATGTTGAAGCATGTATGTACTACACTGCTTTTTATTGCCAAGTAATAGTCCATTGTATAGATATGCCACATTTTGTTTATCCTTTCATCAGCTAACAGACACTTGGCTATTGTAAATAATACTGCTGTGAGCATTCACATACAAGTGTTTGTGTAGACATACATTTTTAATTCTCTTGGGTATATACCTAGGAGCAGAATTGCTCCATCATATGATAACTATATTTGATCTTTTGAGAAACTCCCAGAGTGCTCTTCAAAGTAGTTGAACCATTTATATTCTCAACAGCAGTGCCTAAGAATTCCAGTATGTCCACATCCATGGCAAACACTTGTTTTTTTATGGTATGGCACTGTTTTTGATTGATGGTTTATGAACATCTTTTTATGTGCATATTTGGTTTTTGTAGATCTTTGGAAAAATTGTCTCTTCAGAATCTTTGTTGACTTTCAATTTGAGTTGTCCTTGTATTGAATTGTAAGAGTTCTTTATTGAATTCTATTCCACTGATCATTTTCTATCTTGTTCAGTACCACATGGTTTTGTTATTGTAGTTTTGTAGTAAGTTTTCAAGTTGGAAAGTGTGAGTCCTCCAAATTTACTCTTTTCAAAATGAATTTTAGGATCAGGTTCTCAATTTCTGAAAAGACATCAGGGATTTTGGTAAGGATTGCACTGAATTTATAGATGAGTTTGGGGAGTATTGCCACCTTAACAGTATTAAATCCTTTAACTCACTGAATGTGGGATGTTTTTCCATTTTTTTTAGGTCTTTAATTTCTTTTTTTCTTTTTTTTTAATAAAAAAAATTTTTTTTTTTTTAAGTAATCTCTACACTGAATGTGGGGCTTGAACTCACAACCCTGAGATTGAGTTGAATGCTGTTCGAACTGAGCCAGCCAGGTGCCCCAATGTTTTGATTGTTTTATCTTGTTATTTTTTTAGAATTATGACACCTTTTTTTTTTTTTTTAAATAAACTCCACACCCAACATCGGGATTGAATTCGCCACTCCAAGATCAAGAATTTCATGTTCTACTGACCCAGCCAGCCAGGCACCCCTGGTCTTTAATTTCTTGTAGCAATGTTTTATAGAGTGTACATTTTTCAGTTTTGTTAAGTTTATTCCAAAGTGTTTGATTCTTTTTAATGATACTGTAATGGATTGTTTTCTAGAGTAAGTGTTGTTTAGAAATACATTTGGTTTTTGTATATTGAACTTGTACTAGGCAGCCTAGCTAAACTAGTTTATTACTTACGTTAGTTTTTTAGTGGATTCCTTACAGTTTTCTATATACAAGATGATGTCCTCTGCAATTAGAGATAGTTTTACTTATTCATTTCCAATCGGAGGTCTTTTTTTTTTTTTTAATTTTTTGCTTAACTGCCATTTTTTTTTGCTTAACCCTCTAGTACATACTGAACAGAAGTAGCAAGAACAGACATCTCTGTTTTGTTCCTTATCTCTTAGAGTGTAAGCATTCAGTCTTTCAGTGTTAATTATGATGTAAGCTGTGGGTTTTTTGTAGATGCCTTTCATCAAATCAAAGAAATTCCCTTCTATTTCTAGTTTGACTGTTTTTATCATGAAAAGCTGTTTGATATGAAGGTGCATTTCATTTCTACCCTATTAGATCCTTCTGCATCTACTGAGATGATCGTGTGGTTTTTGTCCTTTATTCTATTGATATGTTATATAACATTGATTTTTTTTTTTTTAATGTTGAATCAATTTTGCATTTCAGGGCTAAGTCCCACTTGGTTGTGGCATATAATTATTTTTATATGCTGCTGTATTTGATTTGCTAGTACTTTGTGGGGTTTTTTGCATCTGTATTCATGAGATTGGTCTGTAGTTTTATCGTGATCTCTTTTCTGGTTTTGCTATTAGGGAATATTGGCCTCATAGAATTAACTTGGGAAGTATTCCCTCCTCTTTTGTGTTTTAGAAAAGTTTGTAGAATTGGTTTTTCATATTTAAATTTTTGGTAGGATTCACCAGAAAGCTATCTGGGATTAACCATTTCTTTTTGGGTAATTTTCTGGTTACTAATTCAGTTTCTTGACAGGCCTATTTAGTTTCCTGTATCTTCTTGAGTCCGTTTTGGTCAGTGTGTCTTTTGGGGTCTTTTGGGGTTATGCACTCAATTCCACTGTGGGGGGGGATGTTCCCCCCACACCAACAACAAGCAATTCTCTGGGGATATGATGTGGGTATCCTACAATTCAACACATTTCTGACTATATACCTGGAAGTAGCATCAGATTCTATAGGTTGAGGGCTCAGTCCCACAAGACTGTCCTCACCCCCATTTAAGATACCAATCGCAAGCCTAGGTTATCCCTTGTGCTTCTGACCAACAGGCTACAGATTTGAGGTTTCTATGACCCTCCTTGGACTCAGATACCAGATACCAGTTGCAAGTCCAGATTGTTACCTGTACTTCTGTCTAACTGGCTATAGATCAGAGGTTTCCACAAACCCTTCCATGCAGTCTATTAATTTGCTAGAGAGGCTCACAGAACTCAGAATCATTTTACTTATTAGGTTACTGGTTTAATGCAAGGGATTTTAAAGGATACGAATTAGTGGTCATGGAAGAAATGCATAGGGTGAGGTATGTGGGAAGGAGAGTGGAATTTCTATGCCTCCTCTGAGCATGACACTCTCCCCAAATCTTCATGTGTTCACAAACCTAGAAGCCCTCTGAATCCTGTCTTTTGGGTTTTTATAGAGGCTTCATTACATAGTCATGATTGATTAAAAAATTGGCCATTGATTCAACCTCCCATCTCTCCTTCCCTCTCTAGAGGTGGGGAGGGGGTGGGACTGAAAGTTCCACTAATCACATGGCTGGTTCTCTTGGCAAACCATCTTTTGGTGCAGTCTGAAAGTCACCTAATTAACATAACAAAAGGCACCTTCCTGCATCACATCACTTCGGAAAACCTAAGGGTTTTAGGAACTCTGTGCCAGAAATGGGGACAAAAATCAAATACATATTTCTTACTATAAATTACAATATCACAGGGGGTTTGTTCTTTGCATCCAAATTATGAAATATATTGGCATACAGTTGCTCATAGCATTCTCTTTTCTTTTTTTTTTTTTTTTTAAGATTTTATTTATTTGACAGAGCGAGAAAGCACAAGCAGGGGGAGCAGTAGAAGGAGAGGGGAGAAGCAGGCTTCCCGCTGAGCAAGGAGCCCGATGCGGGGCTCGATCCCAGGACCCTGAGATCATGACCTGAGCCGAAGGCAGTCGCTCAACCGACTGAGCCACACAGGCGCCCCATTCTCTCTTTATTTTCAATGAAGGGTTGGTAGTAATGTCTCTATTTCCTGATTTTAGTAATTTGAGACTTTTTTCTTAGTCAGGTTAGATAAAAATTTATCAGTTTTGTTGATCTTCTCAAAGACCCAAGTTTTGGTTTTGTTCATTTTCTCTATTTTTGTATTCTCGTGGCTAAAGGTTATGGCAACAAAGGACACAATATATGACCAACTGAGAGAAAAGAGAGAAGGCACAGGCAAAGTCCATGAGGTGAGGTACATGTTTCCAGTTCTCCTTCCACGAGTATTGCATGGGTCTGCCATCTCTACAGCTACAGATGGCAGGGACAGATGGTCTCCAGAAGCATTTATGTACATAAGAAATTCTTTAGGACCCCAAAGAATATTTGTTTATGTAAGTTATATCAAATCTGCTTCTGCCTTCAATTTTTTGCCATGTGCTATTTTAGGTGAAGTAGTTGAGGGTGTTTATTGGATGTCTCAAGTAGGTCACTGCTTCATTACAGTGCTGAAGGTTCACTGCCACAACTTCTGTTGGTTTTTACATTGTCCTTCCATGTGACAAAGTGTTGTGGCTAGGGTGGCTTAGAGCATAGTATTGATCAGTTCACAGTTGGGTGATTGTCATGCCTTCTCACCTGCACAACTTGAATAGCTCCCCTATGCTAGTTGGAGAAGGAAGACAATAGACCCAGGCGATCAGAGTTGGGGGAGTAGGCAGAAACTAGTAATCTAATTTACCCCAGGCTGTTGATACCTACCACCCTCAGTCAACATACAGCTGGCCAGTGCAAGATCTTAATCTAAGGACTCTTACAAACTCTCAGCAGCTGCTGATTTGGGGAGTGAATGTCCTTGGGAGTGGTGGCCTTTTAGTCATGATTTCCATTGGTTTCCTGATAAGGGAAAGCAGAGTTCTCTTGTGTGTGTTTTCTTGACTGCAGTTACAGCTCTGGATTTAAATGGATATGTTATCCCCTGCCTGACCCTGCTAACAAGAAAGTAGATTCTGTCCTTCAGGTCTCTTCTGGTACTACAAGTCCCCTTGCATCATTAATTTCAACCTTTAGTTTTATAAAATCTGGATCTTAACTCCATGCCAACAAAATGCCTGTTAATGTTCTTGCAACCCTCTAAACTAACCTGGGACAACCAGAGTAGACAATAGAATGTGGCTTATAATGACAGAGGTAACTAACAGTGTGTAAAAGTTTTCAGATTTTTCTTCAAGGCAGTTCAGCCTACTTTTATGGGACCTGTTTAGTTCTGTTCAGAGACTTTGTCCACCTCAAGAGGCACAGAATTGGCTCACTCCTATTATAGCAATACTTAATACTCCTAATACACTTTGTACTCCAACAGCATGTTGCATCTTAGGTAGCTTGTACTTGCCTGGCAAACTACTTTTGTACTTGAGGCACTTGCCAGGGATTTCTAGATATTTAAGACCACTACCCCTCTAATGAATCCTATTTCCTTAATGAATCCTGTTTCCTCCTTACCTGGAACACTCTAAAATGAGTTGCTAGGCAGAACTCCAAGGAAGGGTAACTGAATTTTGCATGTGTGCTCTGGGATCTTTAATTCCCACTTCAGGGTATAGTACAACTATAAGTGTAGTCCGAAATTGGTCTCTGACCTCTGCTCTAGAGACGCAAGAAAGTACCGTAAACTTTCTAGCCTGAATGAGACGTGTACCTCTCAACTTCTAATGGCCAGTTATGATGGGATATATGTGATTGCCAATACCCCATGCTGTACCTAGATTAATCAGTCAGCAAAAGTAGAGCAGTTTATTTCCCACTCCCTTGTTCTTCCAGGGAGAAAGCCGTGTGGCTCTCACTGGTGAACCTTGATGATACCTGGGACCGTACTTCGCTGGCTTGGCTCTGTGTGGGGAGCCTGGTTGTGGCTTGACCTCCACGAAAGACCTGATCATCTTGCCAGGGGTCAGGGTCAAGTCACTCTTTTCCAACGTTGCTTAAGAGAAAGTACAGTTAATTAGGGTATTTGATGGAGTGTCCTGTGCTTCTGAATAGAATTTGTAGCTGGACACATGAAAGGTGGAGGGTAGAGATGTAGGGGGGCAGCTTCACCATGGTACTCTGATTACCTTTGTCTTCTCATGGGCCGAATAGGCAAAGCCTAATCTCTGTATGACCCATACCTTGGCAGGACACCCAGCAGGTCCTCCTGGAACAAAGGTTGATAAGAACCCTTATGAGAAATGGCCACGGGGCGCCTGGGTGGCTCAGTTGGTTGAGCGGCTGCCTTCGGCTCAGGTCATGATCCTGGAGTCCCTGGATTGAGTCCCGCATCAGGGAGCCTGCTTCTGCCTCTGACCCTCCCCCCTCTCATGTGCTCTCTCTCTCTCATTCTGTCTCAAATAAATAAATAGAATCTTTAAAAAAAAAAAAAAGAAATGGCCACGGGGATGGTTTTTTTTTTCCCCCCTGCTGCTGCCCTGGTGTCAGTTGAGCACTGTTTACCACCTCCCTTGCCCTTGAGCTACAGCAGCAGGCTCTAAAATGTCTACAGTTGAGTTGGCTTCTCAGTAGCCTGTGTTCTCAACCATGTTGGTATCACCCTCTTTGGGAATAGGGACACTGATGTTGGTTTTTCTGTTTGTGTAAGTAATAAATTGCACATGAAATCACAGTCTTGTCTCCTTTGTGTCTCTGACAGTGTGGAGACCTCCCAGCTGTGATAGCGGGACTTGTTAGCCCTGCTAGCTGCGGCACTACTGCGTGGCGTCATTCATTTGTTCTGTCCGGTCAGTGTGATCATGTAGTCAAAGCATTCAGCACAGTTCTTAACATGGTAAATTCTCAAATGTTAGCTGTTATTTTAGAGTTGTATTATAAATAACACAAAACTTAGAATATTCTTGAAAGCCTAATTCAAGGATTGATGGGCTAATTTCTCCCATGACTAAGGATACAAACAGAAAGAGGTAGAATAGGTTGAGTAAATCATGATACTTTTGGCATTCCTGAATAGTGTTGGTAATTGTGGCTTTGTTGATGTTATAGAGGTAGCTGTAGCTTTTTTCTAATGCAAATTGGTTTTTCAGTGAAAAATACTGGCTTTTCTCAATTTAACCACATCAGTGGACACTCCAAATAAACTTTGGTTTGTGGAACACATTAGAAGTGGAACTTAAAAAGCCATAAGGGAGAGTTCCAATTTAAAATACCAGAATAGTTTTGTTTTTTCCAGGTGGGAGAAGAGTATTCTATATATTTCTTAGGAAGTTTCTATATTTTTGAAGTACTGAAAGGCTTGCAGATGAAATCATGTGATGTTTATGGTTGACACAGAAGGGAGGGGTCGGAACTTTTTCTCCATCTAGAAGTTTAAATAGGGACTTCTTTTTAACTTGGTGTTCAGCACTTACAGATAATGTTTATTCCTTACAGATAATGTTTATTCAAAGGAATAAACAATGCCTGCTGGACATTGTCTAGATCTGCCATCTTTTGTGTTGCTCTGAGACAGTCTTTTTTTATACCTTTCATCTTGGATATTAATAACATTGTCTTTCACTTTAATAATGTTCCAGTTTCTTTGATAAATTAACACTTGATGTGGCTTAGTTTGTCCTGTTCTTTCTTACTATTTCATCTGACCTGGCATGGCAAACCATATATATAACAGGTCCCTTTTCATAGAGTTCTGTTCATGGGTGTGTGTGCTTGTGTATTTGTGTTTAAGATAGATATTAATATGATTATTCCTCCAAGCTATGATTTTTAGGTTCTTTTTTGCTTTGTAAATTTCTGTAATAAGGCAAAATTACAAATAAAGGAAGCTGCTGGGTTGACAATTTTTCATTTAAACTACATTCTTTGCATTAAATTGATATAGAATACTTGAAAAGACAATTCACAAATCTTTTCTTTTTTTTTTTTTTTT